AAAGAAAAAGAAGAAAAAGTAAAAGAAGAAGAAGAAGAAGTAAAAAAAAGAAAGAAGAAGAAGAAGAAGAAAAATAAAAGGAAAAAGAAAAAGAAACTAAAAAAATCTATATGTACGTTTGTACACATGTGTGTGTATGTGTGTATGTGTGTACGTACGTATGCATGTGTGTATGTAAAATGATGTAAGACGATCATCACGAATATATACATCCTCTTTATTACTAATCGATCATTAATTTCTTTTTCTCTCGTCTCAAAAATCATACAAGATTTTTTTTTCGTCTGTTTCATATTTCATAAGAAATTTCATAAGAAAGAAAAGAAAAGTGAAAAAAACAAAAGAGAAAAATCAGAAATGAATTACAAAATCGAAGAAAAAATGACAAAATGAAAAAATACAGAAGGAAAAAAAAAGAAAAAAAAGGAAATAAATGAAAGTAATATTACAATGGAGTCAATGATGCGTCGACAAACGAACAAACGAAAAATAAACGAAAGAAATATTACGAACTAATGGATTACTAATGATTCTAATTCAATAATGATACAACATGCGAGGATTAAAGTTTCGGGTGTGAAAAAGAAAAAAAAATGAATCGATTTCTATTATACCATATTCATTCAAGCAAATTTCCAAGATCTTATCACATCTCAATTTGTACGGATGAATTACTTTTACGCGGTTTCGATTTTTATTTTTCAATCGTCACACTCGCAAACAAGAATCCACCGTAGCCAGTGAGTTTATCAAAACACAAAGGAATTCTTATTAGATCGAAAGTAATACGTGCGCGTCGATGGAAGAAATAATTGATACGTTGGTAGTTAATAATTAGTATATTGATACGAACAAAAAAAAAAAAAAAAAGAAAAGAACAAAAAAACTCCCATATAAAAAGAGAATCTCTATTGATTATGCCTTTATGAATTACTTTTCTAAAATCTTGGTAAAATGATGAATAATTATGAATATATATTATCAATGCATAAGTGATGAAGCGATGAAAAAAAAGTTATCGGGTTCTGATAATTCGTGAAAGCGGGATTGTGTTGAATGGAATAAGGAGGGGATGACGGGGAACGGAGGGGGATGTTTGTATGTACGCGTCTAACGCACTAAGTGCACCCCGCGCTTCTTCTAATCGTAGATTACCAGCGGCGAAACGTTCTCTTCTTGTTCAATGTTATAACGGCATGACCGAATAAAGCTACGAGGTCGAAGTTAATAGTTGCAAGTGTGAAAGGAAAGAAGGAAGAAAGGAAGAGAAGAGAAGAGAGGAGAAGAGAAGAGAAGAGAAGAGTAGGGTAAGGTAAGGTAGATAAGGGAAGGGATAAGGGTAGGGAAGAAGAAATAAATTTAAAAAAGAAAAGAGGATGAAAATAGAAGAAGAAGAAGAAGAAGAAGAAGAAGAAGAAGAATTAATAGAACGAAAGAAGAGATAGAGAGAGTGAATGAGAAATTAAAAGAAAAATAACACAGATTGAAAGTCGATCGATTAGACGTAAAAATAAAAGCTAAGATAAGATTCAGTTTGAATTGGTGACGGAAGAGGAAGAAGAACGAGAAAAAGAAAAAGAAGAAGAAGAAGAAGAAGAAGAAGAAAAAGAGATGGAAGAAAGATGAGGTGGGGAAGAAGAAGAAGGAGGAGGAGGAGGTGGAGGGGGAGGAGGAGGAGGAGGAGGGTGAAGAATACAACAACGACAACGACAAAAACGACGAGAACGGCGATCGTGGAAGTGGAGGCGCAGTCACGGGCGCTCGCCATATCTGGAGAGACTATCCTACGTGGGCTCGAACCTTGCCTCACCTCTCCTCCTCCTCCTCCTCCTCTTCCTCCTCCTTC